CGGGCAAAAAGTGTATAGAAGAGGAGTGGTCATTAAATTGGGACCAAAGTCTGAAGTTTAGATATTCATTTATCTACCTAGCGCTGAGTGGATCACAAATCCAATATTTTAATGACACAATGTTAGTAAAAATGTATAATTATTCATAGTACAATTTCTATAAAAATCACAACCCAAATCAAAGCAACATGTAAAACAATACCAGTTACATGTCTGTCATATAAATAATTACAAGATATATAAATATAAAATAGCTAATATACATTCTGAGAATTCGATAGGTATCACAATTCTAACATTGAGGGTTGAACATGATATTTTTGAAAAATTACCATTATATATATGTATATATATATATATATATATATATATATATATATATATATATATATATATATATATATAGAGAGAGAGAGAGAGAGAGAGAGAGCGGAAGAGAGAGAGAGAGAGAGAAATTGAGAGATTATATAAAATGCATTTTGTGTGTGCAGAAAACAGTAACATATGTTCTGGAAAGACTAGGAGTTATAAGTTAGTTTCTTAAAAAAAAGGGCAAGTGAAATGATTCCGGCATGTTCAAAGACATAATTATACTCTTAGAAAAACTATACTGGAGGAAAAAATCAAAGGCTGGAAAGCAATAGGTAGACAACTGTACAAGCATCACCATAACATCAAGAGATAGACAAACAGCAGTGTGAGAGAGTGCAAAACCAAGACAAGAGACACTGTATGGTGGAGATCCATTACAGCCAACCTTCCCCATGGAAGCGGCACCTTAGTAAAAAAAAAACATATGACGTAGTAAAGGTCTTTTGCACGCCTGCATGCGTATTGGGTATATAGGACTAGACCAATATTTTATAGACCCTATCGGCAGTCTGTGGGTGATGCTTATTGGGAAGGCAGTATGTCTGTTATTGTTTCACCACACAATGGGGAACTAAAACACACACTGTGAAGGATTATTGTAGAAATTGGAGCTCCCCAAAATATAAAGTTAGCTTCTCCTTGCGTGTGTAGAAAAAGCTGGCATATTTTGGTGGCAAGCAAGAACACAAGTTTTGATGACGTTCTGTGGGGAGATCCGGAGGTTGGGCTGCTGACTTCTGCTTGTGTGGTTGTGGGCTGCAGGTCTCAGGTACAGTGTTTCAGCTCCTCTGTGTCACTGTTTGAGTGTTCCTCTAAGGCGGTTGATACATTAATTAGGCAAATAAATTATTCAAGGAAGATGTGACATGACCTGTTCGTGTACCAAATTCAGGTGTCACAGTGTGAAAGTCGGGAGTAGTTAAATTATAATTGATGATCAATATTAACTTCAGTTTGAGACACTGGTGACAGTGATCGTGATGATATGAACATTGACGGTCGCCTAAATAAAATATAACTCCTTGATTTGTAGGACATAAATAAATGGAGAAAAAAACCCCACAGACTCCGACTGTTATAAGTAATAAACAGTAGTAATAGGGCACTCAGAGATATAGTATTGAAATTGACATTATCTTATTGATCGCGCGACACTGAAAACGATTAATCTGATTTCACTGTTTTAGTGTTTTACTATTAGTGTTGCACACATATCGAGTTCCACTGAGACGCTGGATGTTCTTCTTCATCTTCGCTGTTCAGAGGCTATAAACTTCAACAGAAGGTGCTGGTTGTTTGCCCATTCTGGACTTCTGGTTGTTTCAGAACCTGAGGGTTGCATTTCTATTTCATTTTACAAATCTGGTTTATTTGTATGTATATTATATGCAGATGAAAAACATCTTGTGCAATATATCCTTGTCATTGAGAGTAAGAAAAAGAATTCTTGCTTGCTATATACATCCAGTTTTAACAAATGGATGTGATTCCTGGACAATCGGTAGGCAGGCCAAACAATTTTTAGAGGCCTCAGAGATGTGGTTTTACAGAAGAATGCTTAGAATACCTTGGACAGCCAAAAAGAGCAACCAAGAGGTTTTGAAAGAGGCGGGAGCCCGAAGACAACTTATCACTGACATCAGAAGGAGACAGTCATCATTTTTCGGCCATGTTATGAGAAGAGGGAAAATAGAACATGTTGTGACCACTGGAAAGATCTGTGGAAGGAGGGATAGAGGAAGACAACGAGAGAAGATGCTTGACAGTCTTGTTGCATGGCATGGAGGTGTGTCAGCACACGAACTGATAGATGCTGCAGGAGATCGCGGATTATGGAGAGGCATGATCGCCCACGCCAGTCGGCAAGGCACCTGATGATGATGATGATTATATGCAGACTGATGTACTTCCACTTTAAAGGAAGCCCTCAATTAGTCTACTCTTATGACATGCTTGTTGGGAAGGTAGTGAGCCTAATCTTGTTTTCCCACAATGAGGGCACTGAACCCACAAAAAAAATCTTAGAGCTTCCCTCCTTAACCAGCTGCCAACTAAAGCCAAGAGCCTACAATATTTAGTATTTTGTCTGAATTAGTTTGAAAGAAAGTTTTGAGTTGTCAGTTCCAAAAAGAAAACACAAGAAACTTGAGAGAAGAAGCCTATGTCTTACCATCTTTTGTTTTTGTTTTTGCTATGGGAAAAAAAAACTCATGAAGGGATATGTTAAGTTGCATACTTATGGGTGTTTTATTATTATTCTGCATTTGTCGATAAAAGAGTGGTTGGCAGGCTGTGTTGCTGTTTTCAGCAAGGTTGCAGTATCTGTGTGTTGTGACCCAACACATCGGATTTCATCAAACTGTTAATCACTTAGCCTTTTACAACATGTCTGGTCGGAAGGGGGGGGGGGGGGGGGGGGGAAGATAGATAAATGGTGTAGATGAAACCTGCAAAAATATGAACAAATACAGAAAACCACTACACTGGGCTACAACCTGGTATCAGTGAGATGACAAAGAAGAGAAAGAAAGAAAAGTGACTTCTAATGCCAGATAGAAGGGCACTTGATATTATGATGCAACAATCAGAGACCTTGCAGTCATTTTTGGGGCAACTAGATGAGGCTGAGACATCCTGTGCATTTAATTTACATAAACTATATATTTCTACCAAGAATTCGCAACAGACTTGAATGTGGCACCCTTGATTTCATTATAAAAAAATTATTGAACTTTTTTTTTTTCAGTATCTGTCCTTTGATTTTAGCAACGCATCACTTTAATTGTAAAAGTGATTTGGCTGTTTTTTACAGTTATTACCAGAAAAATCTTGGCACATTGCACCAGATGTGTAGTTTAAGCAAGAAATCTAGATGTTTTAAAATCATAATTACATATGTTATAAATATTATTTTATAGGCCGGCTTTTTAATGTTGAACTTCTACTGGGCATAGTCTCTTTAGCTTGCAGCTTTTTTTTTTTTTTTTTTCAGAATTGTCCAGAATTTTCAGCATATAAACGGGTCCTCTTAGCTGGTTTCTCCAGTCCATGAAGACTAGTCATTAATCCACCACCTCAGGGTCAGGAGGATGTTTCTGCTGCCATTTCATAAGGCAGATTTAGTGAAGGTTCTCTGAAACAGCGCAGCAAAACAGAGGATCATTATCTGAAAAGACTGATTCAGCTCTGAATGAGCAGAGAGTCTAGAGAATATTTTACACAAAATAGACAAATAACTTGATGTACTTTTAATTGGATAACAAATGCCACTATCGGTGTCATCATCAATCAGCAAGTCCTTTACAGAATCTCGCTCTCTTTACGGCACACCTGAAAGTATCCCTTTCCCTAGCCAGCTCTTCAGGCCCCTGTGCTTTCAGTGCCAATACTTCTTCAATGTCCAGTATCCATCTTCGCCATGGTCGACCTCTGCCTCGCCTTTCACTAACTGCAGCCTCCATCACCATCTTTTCCAAGCCACCATGACGCTCGATGTGACCAAAATACTTTAACTTTCAGGACAGGAAGCTGTTTATGAGCCAATTCTTCCCGATATTTAACTCATTTAGAATGTCTACGTTTCTTCCTTCTTGATCCATGGTATTCTAAAAATGTTTCTATTGCACATCATTTCAAAAGCTCTAATCTTTTTCCATTGTGACTGAGAAACCGTAAGTTTCCACAGGAAAAATGCATGAATCAAGATTTTCACTTTAACCAATTTACTTGCACTTTTCTATAGGTTCCTTGTGCTGTTTAACTCTTTTAGCATGGGAATTTTTTCATACTTTTAGTGGTTCATGTCACTATCTAAAAAATTCAACAACAATTTTCACTTTGATCCCAAACACTCGAATGTCGCCATATGTAAAGCTAATACAGCAGTGAATATGAATGAATCACTTTCAGTTTTTTAAAATAGGAGATTTCTTAGCGGTTCGAGGCGAAACACGATCGGGCCGATGATTCGCCGTTCCGTGTTTTTGGTCAGACATCCGCCGGCTGATAATCGGCCCGTCTGTGCTAAGAGGGTTAATCTCTGCATTGCTAATGCAAGACTTCTTCTGACTTCTTTCGAGCAGTCGCCACTGTTGTTTACTAAAAAGCCCAAGTATTCAAAATCTTTTAAATTTTCTATTTCTTCATTTTCAATTGTGATATTTGGTTTATGTGCTGAATTTACTGAGATTTTTTTTTTGAAATAAAAAATTTTTTTTTTTTAAATTCACTTCTTTGCTTTACTCTTTGACAACCAGCAATAATTTTGTCTTAACCTTGTACATTATTGGGAATTTCCTCAAATGTAGCCATTCTGGTTCTCAATTAATTTTTTCTTATTTTGAAAAATTGAAGCATTTCACATTTTGATCGAATCATATCTGCTAGAGCTAAACAGACATTGCTCCTCTAAGTCACCACATTTTTAAACTTTTGGTATCATTGCCAGTCTGAATTTAAAACATATTGTTGGCACATAGACTGAACATTGTTTTAACTTTATCCATATAACTTGAAAAATTTCTTTTTGTTTCTTTACCAGAAAATTATAAATTCCATTTGGGACACACTCACTGCTGCGTGGGCAGTTGCTGAAGGGCAAAAAATCTGCAGATTGTTGGCCATCAGCAATGTCTTCAGACCCTTGCCTGGGAGCTTCATGTTGTCAGCAAGAAAGTTTTGCCTTTGGCAGAAACACTTACAGTCGTGATTCCTCTCCGGCCATCCAAGAGGATCCGTTTAGTTTGGATATATCTAGTTTGAGTGTAAATTATGACACTGATGGTGGAGATGAGAGTATCAGTTCTTTTCCTCTACAAGATGATATAAGATTTGTTGGGAAAGCGAGTAGATCATCATTTAAACAAAATTATGGATTTAAACAGATTGACCTGGGTTGTCGTCTTAGGTCGGATATTACAGCAGAGGTAAGAAATTTTTATGCTTCATAAGTAACATTTTAGTTTGAAAATAAAGATACGTCCAATTTTTTTTGCAATAAACTTTTATAATTGCTTGAGGCCTGTTTGAAATGTGATACATACCATATTTGTTAAGACTTATTGGCACTCGGTGGGTATTGGCAGTAGCTGCTGGCTGTTTTTTTTTTTTTTCTCTCAGAAAGTTTCCTAGTACGCATTTTAGTCTGGAGCCTGGTGTCAGTTGAAATAGTGGTAAGAGTCGGCCGTATGAGAACACATTCTTAAGAGGCAGAATTCTACTGGAGCTAGAAAGTGCGCACACATGCACGAATACACGCACCCTCACTCACTCTCTTCCACTCACTCACCGTTTCACTCTCCCTCGCTCTCACACACACACTCTCTCTCTCTCTCTCTCTCACCCTTCCTCCCCCCCTCTCCCTACACTTTTCCTTCTCACCCTCCCCCCCCCCCCTCTCCCTACACTTTTCCTTCTCATGTTCACTGGGTGTAAACTCTGGTAGAAAATTCTGGTTGTTCAACCACTTCTGGACTTATTATCTTGTTCCAGAACTTGAGATTTTCTTGCACATCCTTTTGACAGATTTGGCTGATTTGTTTGGTTCCTCGCCTCCCAGGCGGATGCACTCTGACTTTGTAGGAAACAAATTTTCAGTTTGTAGTTATTCTCAGACTGCTTACTCTATTTCGCTACCTCTATCTCTCTCTCTCACTATTTCTCCGTCGTCCTCTCCCTTTCTCTTTACAGTATAGTGTTTCAAAAATTCACAGCTTGAATATGTGTATCTGTGAGTCTTTCTCTTAAGATTACATTCTCACCTGTATGTCTTTGTTATCTGTACAAGAAATGAGTTGCTCTTTTTTTTTTCCATGTTTATATTTTTCTGTGTTTTCATATCCTTGGCACTCAAGATGTTAACCTGGTCAACAGTTGCTCGATGAAGTCAGATGTTTTGGCCGAAAGGTGCAAAAATCGCAGCTTTACTGTAAACAAACACAACACATTTACGTCACTCGGACCAACAAAAAGAAGATGAAGATATCCTTAGCACAGCTAGCTCAGCTATTGGTATATTTGTTTACTTTACTGTAGGTCACATGAGTATCAGGCGGCTGTAGTTCATTTATCCTTAGCATCACTGACTGCTTACTTCCTTCAGTGAGATATTGCAGTTCTGGCTGTGACTGTTAGTGTTGGTATTTCTAGTAGCTGCCTTATGCATTTACTGCATGTGCATGTTTCTGGATTTTATTTGGACTCATTCAGTTGTTTTATCCACTAGTCTTTAGATATGATAGGGAGGTGCTTTTCCCCCGACACAGGAATGGGGTAATTATTGGGTGACCTTTTTACAATAAAGTTGAAACCTCACCTACTATTACTTTGCATTGAAGACCCCAGGAACCTTTGAACTTTGAATACTAATTTATGTTAATACTAAATTGTTTGTTTAGGTTGATAAACTGCCCCCGGAGTTAGAGGAGGAACTAGCTGGGGTGGAAACATCGCTGCTGAGTGTGCCCAGCAAATGTGCAGAGCAGGCAGAGGAATTCGTCAAGAAGGTAAAATGTCACTTTAAGGTTAAATTGTGTTGTTTTATTACAATCACCATTGTACATTCCCATATGTGCTCAGTCCTCCGATGCAGCAGCAACTCCAAAGTACTTCTTCGTATTGTTTCAGAAGGAGCTGGTTATAATGTCTCCTATCTTGGTCTCGCAGGATGCATAGACATGCTTCACCATGCTTTACTTCCATGTCAGACAATCATATAGTGTCAGAGATTCATCACTATCCACTAACGCAGTCAGTACAGTCTTGATGAAATCTGCTCTGTCCATGCTTCTTTCCAATTGCGTTGGTGTATGGTTAGCCAGTTGGTTTGCTCGCTCACTCATTACCCTTTACACTGGGATGGCCAGGTGTATAGATTCAGGTGAGGGTAGTTAAATTAAATTTCTTTATGCTTTCTGCCCAGTCAGAGTGTATACTGCCTGTTGCAGTATACTAAAGCTTGTTCATAAGGTCTGATATGATTGCTACATGTGTGGCTGCTGGTCTGCGCTCATGTTAGTGTTGTGCTGCTCATGTTAGTGTTGTGCTGCTCATGTTAGTGTTGTGCTGCGCATGCTAGTGTTGTGCTGCGCATGCTAGTGTTGTGCTGTCCATGCTAGTGTTGTGCTGCGCATGTTAGTGTCCATTGTGTTGTCCATGCTAGTGTTGTGCTGCATGTTAGTGTGTTTGTGCTGCTCATGTTAGTGTTGTGCTGCTCATGCTAGTGTTGTGCTGCTCATGCTAGTGTTGTGCTGCTCATGTTAGTGTTGTGCTGCTCATGTTAGTGTTGTGCTGCTCATGTTAGTGTTGTGCTGCTCATGCTAGTGTTGTGCTGCGCATGCTAGTGTTGTGCTGCTCATGTTAATGTTGTGCTGCTCATGTTAGTGTTGTGCTGCTCATGCTAGTGTTGTGCTGCTCATGCTAGTGTTGTGCTGCTCATGCTAGTGTTGTGCTGCTCATGCTAGTGTTGTGCTGCTCATGTTAGTGTTGTGCTGCTCATGCTAGTTTTGTGCTGCTCATGTTAGTGTTGTGCTGCTCATGTTAGTGTTGTGCTGCGCATGCTAGTGTTGTGCTGCGCATGCTAGTGTTGTGCTGCTCATGCTAGTGTTGTGCTGCGCATGCTAGTGTTGTGCTGCTCATGTTAGTGTTGTGCTGCTCATGTTAGTGTTGTGCTGCTCATGCTAGTGTTGTGCTGCTCATGTTAGTGTTGTGCTGCTCATGCTAGTGTTGTGCTGCTCATGCTAGTGTTGTGCTGCTCATGTTAGTGTTGTGCTGCTCATGTTAGTGTTGTGCTGCTCATGCTAGTGTTGTGTTGTCCATGCTAGTGTTGTGCTGCTCATGCTAGTGTTGTGCTGCTCATGCTAGTGTTGTGCTGCTCATGCTAGTGTTGTGCTGCTCATGTTAGTGTTGTGCTGCTCATGTTAGTGTTGTGCTGCTCATGCTAGTGTTGTGCTGCTCATGCTAGTGTTGTGCTGCTCATGCTAGTGTTGTGCTGCTCATGTTAGTGTTGTGCTGCTCATGTTAGTGTGTGTGCTGCTCATGTGTATGTTAGTGTTGTGCTGCTCATGCTAGTGTTGTGCTGCTCATGTTAGTGTTGTGCTGCTCATGCTAGTGTTGTGCTGCTCATGTTAGTGTTGTGCTGCTCATGTTAGTGTTTGTGCTCTGCTCATGTTAGTGTTGTGCTGCTCATGCTTGTGTGTTGTGCTGCTCATGTTAGTGTTTGTGCTGCTCATGCTAGTGTTGTTGTGCTGCTCATGCTAGTGTTGTGCTGCTCATGTTTAGTGTTGTGTTGTGCTGCTCATGCTATGCTCAGTGTTGTGTGCTGCTCATGCTAGTGTTGTGCTGCTCATGCTAGTGTTGTGCTGCTCATGCTAGTGTTGTGCTGCTCATGTTAGTGTTGTGCTGCTCATGTTAGTGTTGTGCTGCTCATGCTAGTGTTGTGCTGCTCATGCTAGTTTTGTGCTGCTCATGCTAATGTTTTCTTCTTCTTCGTGTTCACCAGCTGTAAACTCTGGCGGAAGGTTCTGGTTGCTCATCTACTACTGAACTGCAGTCCCTCTCCAGAACCTGAGTGTTACAGATCTCATTCTCCTGAATACAGACTGTTGTTTCCTTACCTCTCCGGCAGATGCACTCCAACTTCAAAGGAAGCTCCGCAATTAGTCGACTCTTACGACATGCTTTTGAGGGAGGCAGTGGGTCTATTCTTGTTTTCCCCCCACAATGGGGCCCCGGAACCCACATGGAGGGGGGGGGGAGTGGGGGCTAGTGTTGTGTTGTCCATGCTAGTGTTGTGCTGTCCATGCTAGTGTTGTGCTGTCCATGCTAACGCTCTGAAAGCAGCAGCTATTTCCAATTCCAAGGTCATGCTTCATGTAATTGCTTGGTAAACACCACTATCCTTTTTGCTTTCCACATTCTTTGTGCTGTGTATGCCTTTGCTGATCTTGATCTGCACTTCCCAGACCCAACTGTGTAGATGTTGTTTTCTGACCATGAATGCGGATCTATCAGTGCCCAATACCTCCCCAGTGTGATGACAACCTTAGAAAGGTCATACATGTCTGCTAGTATATCCCATTCTTTTCCTTGACAAATCCCATCTTGTTCACATACCTGCTGAAGCATGAATTTTCAGGCTTGGCCATCTGGGAGCTGTCCCTTTTGAGGCATATTCCTTTTATGTCATCAATAGCTTTGTAAGGTGGGTTGTTAACATCTTCCAATACTCTCATGTACACCATCTAGCCATCTTCCGCAAACCCAAGATGTTTTGTATGGCATGGCAGGAAGTTTCTTTTGTGCAGCCGAGTATGAGTCTCTTGGCATCATTTTGTACTTGGTCCTGTCTCCATCTGCTGTGTACACATTGAAGAGTACAGGCAACAGTGCTGATCCCTGGGGCAGCCTGAAAGGACATGCTGAGGTTTTGATGCCCACATACCACATCCCAGCAACACTGTTTTTGCTAATAGAACTGCTGCGATACTTTGACCCATTTTATCTCAATGCACATATCCATTGTATGGGATGCTTCTAAGTCAGTGGATGCTGCAACCGTTTCTATTCCTGCCTGGAAACCTTTGTATGTGTTGAATGCAAATACCTCAACATTGCATCAGGAATCCTTTCCCGGTAGGTAATGGCCAAGTGTAGCGGGGAAATAGACCACCAAACTCCAGATCACTGATCTGGCCTCGATTTTTCCTTTGGTGTTCTGGAGCATGATAATTCTGCAGCCATTTGTTTTCGCTAGATCTTTCCTAAGTTTTTAACAACAGAGTCTGAGGTAGAGCAATAGAACCAGTCATAAAAAATAATGCTGCTTTTGATAGTGTAATTTAATGTGCTGGATAATTGTTGTTGTTTGCGTTCACCTGCTGTAGACCCCAGCAAAAAGACCTGGTTGTTCATCCATTTTTGGACTTCAGCTTTGCTCCAGTACCTGAGTTTTGCATGTGCATCCGTTTTACAGATCTAGCTTATGTGTGTGCAGACTGTTGGTTCTTGCCTCTCGGGCAGATGTACTCCCACTTTAAAATAACCTCCAAATTAGTTGACTCTTACAACATACTTGTTGGAGAGGTAGTGGGTCTATTCTTGTTCCCCCCCCATAATGGGGCCCTGGAATCCACATGGGGAGCTGGATAATTCATTCATAACTCTCACCTCAAACTTTTCAAGTCACTATATCTAATGCCATCAGGCCCTGGAGCTGTGTCCGGACAGGTCTTCAGTGTTGTTCTGTTGTATTCAGTCCAAATGTACACTGTGTCTTCATTTCCATCTGTTCCGATGATATTGTGTACTGTTTGTTTTCGCCTAATGCTCTTATCTCTTGTCTTTTTGGTCTGCAGGAGAAATCTGTGCACGATGGCCTTGTCTTTTTCTTCATCTAATTCATCTGTTCATCTTGTGGTGGAGCCACCTGACTTTTCTGAGATATTTTTTTTTTTCGTTTTTTTTTAAAGCCTATTTTATGATAAAAATTGTCCTACATCATGTGCTTAGACTTTGTTTTAAGTGTTCATTGAATGAATGTTTTCTATCTTTAATGTCTTTTTTCCTTAAGTATCCGAGAAACTGGAAGATTTTCTGTATATCTCCTATTCTTTGGTGGCATTTTCTTTCTTTTTCCATTGCTTCGGCGATTTAAGGTGTCCGCTATGTGGGGTAAATGTTGCTGCATCATATCTTAGCACGGACACATGAACTTCATAGTTCCAGTGAGGACCGAGTTTATGAAAACTTTCTACCATGTTTAAGGAATGCAGTAGTGAGAGTTTTGTAACGGAATGTCCCAGTAAAAACCTTGTGCCAGTAAAGGGGCCAGGTGTCATCCCTTTATAGCCTGACTGCTTTTATTAGTGTCTGTGCTCTCCACAGCCATGCTCTTTTTTTTGGCACAAAGGAAACACCTTAAACTTGGATTCTCGACTACTTATTTCCTAGGGGCCAACACGCGTGCATTATTGCTATAAAGAAGCCATAATTTTTTTTCTCACATAAACCTTATGACTTAGCATACATTTATAAACACACTTACACATACGTTCATATAGACATACATTAAAAAGCATATCATGGACTGTTACACTCAATTCTAAATGACACATGGTCAGCATGATTGACAGCAGGCTGAAGACAGTGAATGTAGTTGGTTATATTGGGAAAGAAATGTAATAAATCAGTTATATATGAAGACAGATGTAAACGAGTGCGCCCATAGAAGATCTTGGAAAGAATTACATATTTTGTGAACGTATTGCAGCACTTGAGCAAGCCAGCAGGAGATGCATTCTCACAGGTGTCAGGGCACAGGGCTCCTGAGAGTATTCAGATACAGTTAATAATAATTAACAACACACAAGCACACACACACACAGCAAAATAGAGAAAGAGAGAGAGAGAAAGAAAGAGAGAGAGCGAGGTACGTGTGCACACACCAAAATAGAGAGAAGAGGGAAGAGAGAGATCAGTAACTAATTCCTCCGAGGCAGAATTTTCA